AAGAGTGTCTTTACAAAGAGCAAATTTCAATGTCTAGGATTTAATACAATTACTAGTGATCCAGCATGAAAAGGTGCTAAATTTTGTAGTTAGGCAGTCAGACAACGCTAATTCTGAAGTCATCTACAAATAAATACACACTTCACGCTAAATACCTTTAACTCTATGACTACATGTAAATACATTTCTCAACAGAGGAGAATTTAAGAATGTACCAAGAACAGTGATTTGTGCAGTTCATGTGTTAATTACCTAGTGGTCTGCATGAACAGTTCTTCTACAGCTATTTGTCAGAAGCACCTTTGTCATATTCACAAAACTTGTTTAAAATATTCTTACTATAAAACATAGCGATGCTGGATCTATTTCCCCATGAAACAAATGTTTTTAAGTCAATAATTAGAAGTTGCGGTATGCTTGCTGAACAATGGCAATAAACTTTGTAAATGGTTTTAGTCTGCTGCAAATGTGAAATAATTGTTTAGATTTGTTGTGGGAGGGAAAGCTGAATTCCTCATATTTGCAGAAGCCTAAAAGCATGCATGTGAACATTTACAGTGGTTAAGTCACGCTAACTCGATTGTGGGTGTAGCTCAGTGTCAACTACTGAAGCAGGGGGCTGAGCAGAAAGGGAAGCAGTAAACTCTGACCATATCCAACCTAGTGAGATAGGCAGATGTAGATATAAAAATTCTAATTATATCAGTGATTTTCTCATTAAAAAAGACCCTTAATACAGTGTCACTCAGCTTTGAGAGCTTGATCTCTGAAGCTAAAATAGTGGAGTGGATGCACTAGAAGTGGGAATGTCTATGCAATGTGTATTTTCATGCAAGATTATCCTCTGTTGAAAAATAGGTATTTCATCATTTTTTGAAGGTATATATGTGTCGTATCTAGTCCACTAATCAGAATTCATTCAATTTACAGCAAGAATAGTTACAACTTTAATGACTACGAATGATCTCGCAGGTGAGTAAAGTATGGAATTACTCACCCTTCCAAGATAACAGCTGCCATGGTCGTTTTTAGCTCTTTTGTAAAAGCATTTTTCTGGTCTCAGCAGAACAAACCATGAACCTGGTGGTTTAGCATGGTGAGGGAAGGAGTTACGGCTAAAAAAGTAGCACAGGATTACAAACCAGTCAAATGCCTGGAGAAACAAAAAAAAAACCTGCTTATGCTTATCTCGTGGTGACAAGTAGTCCAAAATCCATTATTTTTTTCCAAAGGCAAAATTAACTTAAAATTGACTTGATTATGAAAATAGCAGAATAAAGCATTAAAAGTCTTTACTATTTAATTACATAAACAAATAAATTTCTTAAAATACAACTTAATCTGTAATAGTTGAGTGATAGCTTTTTAAATAGTAAGTTTCTTATTGCGGGGTTTGTGCATTAAATTCTTCTAGAAAACTAAAGTTCAGTTTAGTATATGAATAGTTTTAGGCACAACATTCAGCAAGTTTATGGTAGGCTGAAAATTACATGGTAGGCTGGTAAGAAACTCACAAAAAACTGGCTTAAAATATGTAATTTGCAGTTGATTTCATTATAAAGCAAATTTATATAACAGCTTCTTACCATCCTGACAAAACTGAAAGAGCTAAGGAGTGCAGCAGATTTTTCAGTAAGTGGTTTGAAATCAAGACTTGGTGGATGTAAGAACAGTAACAAAATGACATTGTACTTTATTTGGTAGATCCTTGTTCTAGTTCAAAACTGATGTTTCATCAGAAACATAATTTGAATGGATTTATTTTTTTTTAAGCAGTCCTCTGCAGCACAACAATGCTCTAGTTTTACAAGCCGTTCAAGTGGCTCTTTCACTGGAAAAGGAAGTCCAGTCCCCTTTTCAATCACTCATTTTCACCCCCGTCCTTGCTGCTTTCCTTCAACAGAGTAAGAATTTTGGGGCCGTGCGGTTAACTTGATCACCAAAAAATTGGTGTAATGCACACACAGAAGTTTAGTCCAGGTCAGTTATCAAGTCCAGTTCACCCACAGCTACACACTTTTGCTGCTTAGAAGCAAGAGGTATACTGAGAGGAGTAAGGGAGGGAGGAAAACGCCATGGAAATAAAAAGCTGGCTCTTGAAAGTAAAGCTGGCTCAGGCTAAAGCTGCTTTTTAAAATATAGCACAGTACACTTTGGAACATGGAAGAGATGGCAGCGAACAGTGATGCTGTGCTGCTTTAATGGAAAATGTTTCCAGTTAACTTCTAACACTGAACATTTTGGCATGTTCATCTTGGGTTTCACACACATGTATGAAACTGTCAAATATCACATATTTCTGAAATAAAGTTTTGTGTACATTTCTGTGAATATTCCATTTACCAAATGGATATTAGATATACCTATACTTCAAATTGTGGTCTCACAGGTAGAGATACTATGCTTATTTTGGTTTAAAAAAATTCTGAAAGTTAATCAAGATACTGAAAAACTGCTTTTTTCCTCAGTTGTCAGGTTTCCTCTCATTAAAACCTGACCCATAGAAGTATTTCCTGTCTCCTTGAAGTCTAAACTTCACAGATGGCAGTAGAGAATAATCCCTTTACTATAAACAACATATGCAACTATAAAGGAAGAGTGAGCTGTGGCTCCGAGTTTAATTTTAGGTGTAAATATAAATTTATATGAGACTACTCAAACTTGTACTAGTCTCCTGGTTTTGTCACAAAAGAATTAGAGGTACTGTAGTGTATTATTTTCAGATACCACTCGCAAGTGCTAAAAGCTTTTCTCTGCTCTATTTACTCTGAGAATTTCTGGGTTCCTGAACATGGCAATTTGAACTGAATTGACTGAAAAGAGTTGCAGAATGGGAACCAGCCTGTTTGTACACCAGTGAAGGTTTACAAAACAACGTGTCTTCTGAAAATGACTGCAGTTGATTTTTTTTGATTTATGCTTACAAGATTTTTTTTCCCTTTTAGTTCTCATCCGTTTCACAACCATGCTCATTCTCAATATTTGGGTCACAGCCACAATCCTGCACTACAGGAAAACTAAAAAGACTGATTAGAGGACACGCATCAGCACACAACATAGTTACCATCAAAAAAACACAATTAAGCCTAAACAAGAGACCAAAGGTTGAGGAAGCACGTGCTCGCTCTCTGTCTTTCTCTAGCCTAGTATTTATCCCTAAGCATATTTAGTACAGTCATGGTTATTTTCTTTTAGAAATAATTCTGCTAAGATACTTAATTCAAGCAGCATATTTTTATTGGTCATTTAAGACAAGTTTCACCGACATCACATTTTCTCTGGATTTTTTTACTAAACGAACAAGGTATTTAGTATTTAGATGTTTATATATTCTTGTATCACTTCAGTACTTTCTGGTTACATATAAGCAATTTTCTTTGATTATACAAGAGCAATTTTGCACCAACATATCAACTCATCTTTCTGCATCTGCTGCAAGTTTGAAAAACAACAACGGATGTTTGTTGTCTTCTTGCAAGCAACTCAGTTTGACATTAACTATCTGTATTTTAGGATGAAGAAAATCTGAGTCAAGGCCCAATTCAAAATAAGGTTCTAAATGTGTTTTACTAAATCACAGATCCAGTTGGGGTTGTAGCGCTTACATGCAACACTTAAATAGTACAATTTATACACCTGATACAGGATACCCATAGTCACTTTCTTCAATATATCCAGTTTTTATTAGGATAAGAACAAAAACTCGAATTATTCTTTTTCAACCTGAGCTGTCATTCACTGAACATACTGTTTTGGGAACAGCAGAGACTAAAACATATAGAAATTAATGAAACTTTGACCAACAGCGTTAAAAATTGTGTTCAAGCAGAAGTTCCTGAACCGATACCCAGAGTCCCCAAATGCAATCCATACTGACAGCAACCCGTTTACATGTGCACCTTGATGCATCAAAGCAGACTCATCTCCAGTGGTTCTCAGGTTTTGATGATCCAGCTCTGTGCTTTGCTAGTTTTCAGCCTGTCTGTGCTAAGTGTGCTGAAAAACATAAAGACTTCAATTTTTACCTTTGAGATTCTAATCCATTTGTATTTGGTATATTAAAAAAGGGAAAAGGATATTCTTGAGAACTATTAAAGGGGGATTTTGCTTTTGGAAGTAATGCCTTTCCAACCAAAAGTTACTGAAGTAATCGTAGCTTCCCTTGATTTCTCATTACGTTCTCCGAAATGACAAGGTATGCCTTTTCAAGAGAGTTCTGACAGTAATACTGTTGATTGGCATGTTAAAACCAAGGCACCCTTGATCCTGACATCCTTGAGAACTATGGGAAGACTGCACTGACCACCTTTGAGGCAGGTTTTGCTTGCAACATGCTAAATCATTGGACTCTTGTGGAGGAGCGGGATCTGCAAAAGCAGATGTTTCTCCCAGTGTACACTCAGCAATCAGACTGAGACCTTCACCATCCGAAAACATAGCTGCTTTGTAAACCTCGGTTGTAGAGCAGGAACGGGTAGGAAGAAGTATGTCTGTGGACATACAATTTCATGTATCTCCCATTACTGAGAGGAAGTTCAAAGATGAGGATTTTTTTACTGCTTCGATAAAACGTATAAATGTTTCTGTGTTGGTTGAGAGAGGAACTGTAAACATCCTGTTACTGATTTTACTAAAGCTGTGTAAAGTATCTGAAGTCATCTAGATGGTGGCAGGTGGTATGTGATACATTTTCCAGGTGATATTAATAAATGCTATTCTTTGTGATTTTGATGTCATTCTTACAGTTAATTTCCATTACATGTACTTTTTTATTCTGTCTCCACGTATGGAGAAAAAATGAAATATTCATTACAGGTCATTAATGGGCAGCTTTCACCTTAACATTTGAAGCATCAGGCTGTATATTAACTTGTAAAATGCTAAAGAGCTCCAGCACCTTAAATGAAAAAAAACACACTTACTTCTCATCTTGGTTTTTTAATTAAAGCCTCTTCTTGATAAAGATTTTGTATAGAGTCCAAACCCTGTCTGTTATTGACATCTTTCATGCTCCTGAGTGATGCTGTAGCAAAGTGAAGACACTCCATTTTCAGTTTGAGGATCAACACTTCAAGTTGCTTTTTTTCCCGTCATAAAATGCTGAAAATGCATTTAAGAAGTGTTTTTTACAGGTTACTTAACATACTTAGAATAAATTGTCTTAGAAACTTGCAGAAAAAGAAGAGACTGAGGCAAAGGGACAAAGCTGGATAATTCGCAGGCTTAAGGTAAAGCAATTTTGTGGACTTGGAAAGCTGGACCACGAGTTCTCATTCAAGCTGCAAGAGATACGGAACAAATCAGAAGGTAGCAGTAAACAGTTTTATGCACTTTTTTTTCCCCCCCAGAGAATAATTTATTTCACTTTCGTAAGGTAGAAGTATGGTCAAGTCCTGGGCAAGCCCCATCAACACGTAGACCCTGTGGTTTTCCAGTACGTAAACCGTGATATTCTCAGTAGCTGGGTAAAAGGCAATAGCTTTAGCCAAGATATGTGGGGAGGATAAACCTTGTTAAACCTGTCGTTCAGCAGCGTCAGGGCGGACACGAGCAGGTTGGTTGCTGCGTAGTGCAGCAGCGGACCAAAGATGGGCAGGGAAAGCACCTTGGATTTACCATGGGATGTGTAAGCCAGCACACAACTGTCCCCAGGGCTGGAAGTAATACGCCTCCATTCACGGATCCTCTAGAAGTGCTGAACTATGCACTTGGTGTCTAACTGCGCCCGTTCACGGCCAGCTCACAGGGTGAAACAGGCTTTCCTGTCCTGGCTGATGAAGTGTGGGTCCTGTCAGGGCTTTCAAAAAGTGTTGAGTTTTCTTGCCTGGGGAAACACAAGATCTGAATTCTGGTACAGCCCGCTGAAGTTTCACTGTAACCCTAAATCTCTCCAGCTGTGGATACGATGAACTATGACTGCGCATGTGGTAACAGATAAGCTACAATCTGCACTTAGCCACAAAGCTCAGTTTAACAGCGTGAAAGAGAAAACACATATCATGAGATTTACTGTCCAAAAAAAGAATGAGGCCGTGATTCCAGGGGTAACAGGTTGCAGGTTTGGAAGGGAGGAGCAGGCAGTGGAAGGTGTGTATAGTTTGCTTTTCCCCAAAACCTACTTCTGAACTGCCCTCGGTGAACAGGAACGTGGTACACAAATGCAAGCCCATCATCTCCCCCACCCTGCGGGCCCCCGTAACGCTCTGCGTTTTGTGCAGAGCAGGACTACGCAGACGCAGATGTTTCTTTGCGTTACTCTAATCCAGCAAAGGATGTTACTGCCTGGACTGCTCAGAACTGCCTGCCCCTGTCTGACCCCGCTGGCTTACGCTGTGCGCGTAGCGGCTCCCTAACCTGCTTCTCATCGATTAAGACAGGAGAGAAAGGAGCGGGGTGGAGTGGCAGACACACACCGCACCTGCTGGAGCTCAGAAGCCGGATTTTAGAGCAGTTCGACTCCTTGGGAAAAGTCATTCACAATCGTTTAGAAGGTCCCGAACAGCTTACTACTTGTAAAAAGCCTTCATTCAGTCCTCTAAATGAGATAAAATTACTCTTCCCCTACCAATCATCATCCATTTAAGAACACAGTAACTGGGGCAGCGGGGGGAGGGAGGACATAACACCTCAGAGCCCACAGAAGAACTATTACAAATTAAGAGCTACACAGATGTGGAGATCAACTCAAATGGGGCAGTTTCCCAGCCACGTATTTTCTGCGATGGTGAGCAGCAACTATTTCACTGCTAATTTTCGGGGTTTAGTTCCATTCCCTTCCAGATTCTTTGATACTTGAGATCCGTATTTATGTATGAAGCAGAACATGAAATGTTGCTTTAATCACTAATAATGGTCTAAGGATGTCCCAGTTTGGAATGTGAGGAAGCTGAAAGAAACCTTAAAATAGGATGTTATTAAATTCTTGGTTTGTACTGACTTTAATTTGCTTGATTTTGAGCTAGAGTTCTCCAAGATACTTAAGAGTTCTTGGAGATGATGGATCTTGATGTTAAACAGGTGTCTGGGAGCCACAATAAACGCTACCGTAAGAACCTGCCAGCTCATCACTTGTGCGGGATCCACTTGCAAGAGCGTGGCAGTCTGACAGACAGACCTGAGTCCTGATAGACCTCAGGTGTTTCCTGCCTGATGGCAAGATAAACATAGAAACATCTTCAAGTTACAGATGTCAGCTATTCCATTCCACCTTGGAAGTGGTCTGGGACAAGCACCATCTCTGTCTTGGAAAAAATCCAGTCTTTGGACTGGGGGTAAAATAAGAGGGTTTTTTACACTACATGATACTCTTGATGAAATTTAATTGGGGATACCTTAAGGACAACTTAAATATTTGTCATAATTTTGTTCATACCCTGTTTTGTTATTTCAGCTCATTATAACAGTCTTGAATTGTCAGAGGCCTAAACAAGTAGTTCTGTATATGATGTGGTATTACTGACTCACAGGAAGGGAGCTGTAAGAGGGCGGTATCTTGTTTTATCTGTCACGATTCCGGAAACTAATTTAAAGGACAGAACCTGCACCATCCTAAAATGCAACAAGAAAGTCAGCTAATAATGATTACAATTCAAATTGAATAGTAACATGGCTCCATGATGAAAATAAATTCTATTTACCACTTTATTGTAATTACAAGTCATCTGTGTATAGGCCTACTCTGGGATGTACATGATTTCTGCTTTTGAATTTGGAGGCTTTGGCCAGCAATACCAAGATGTTGACCTGTCTCACACTATACAAAAAGTGTAACTAGAAGAACACGCTTCCTATGCCTCAGTGTCCCCCCTGTCATGTAAATCAGGACTCTAATGAAGCACAAACTGAGCTTGTGTAAAGCGGATTTTAAGTTACCCAATTACTGTAAGGAGATTCTTTCACCTTTAGGCAATTGACTACCTATAGATTCCACTGAGCTGACTTCCAAGACAGTGACTTAATCTTGAGAGATTTTAAGTTGTTTTCCCTGAAATGCATCATCAGCATGACTGACAGTCCTCATGGTCTCTCTGAGCC